GGTGATGATAAGATGGCGCTTAAGAAAACGAAGGCAATAAGACTAATGATAAAAACGGAGGTGGTGGTGGTTTCAAGCGAGCAGCATAAAACTGTGCATTGCAAACAAATTAAAACAAATTAAACTGTGATCCACACGGGCGGCCCAAACATCCCTGCATCAAAGCAAATTCAAGATGGCTGACTCAGCTTTCCTGAGGGAGAGATGACCCACCAACCAGAACGTCATGACACTACCTAAACTTTTTTGAGCGTTCCACACAAATTACCTATAAAATATTGAGCCCTCTTCAATTAAAGTGGCATAAATCTCAACAGAGCTCAACACTTTATAGTTTGGTCAACTGCATAACGACATTTGACTGTTATGACCTTATTACTTATGAGCTAGTACAACTGTTTGGGATTAAAGTGCACCTATGGCACAAAATCAAGGACTATAAGTGCTGGATAGAACATAGACTTAGATAGACATGACATCATTGTATCTGTCCCATTATGGCGTCTGTGAGAGCACGGGCACTGCCATTAAGGCCATCTCCATTTTGAAGTAGTCAATTTTCTTCTACTACTACTTTTATGAGTTGGTAAACAAACTGAAAGGGTGCATACTGCCACCTGGAGTGTGTTGTTTGAACAGATATAATGCCAAGGTTGGCGATTTACTGCCACCTGTAGTTATGGAATGTTTGCTCACAAGTAGAATTCATTGTCTGATCCCTCTTGGTGACCTGGATGGAATTCTGTGATCCTTCCTTAACCCCTAGGAAGTCCCATCCAGTTCACTACTTAAAAATGGTGAAAGTCCTCAATGGTGCTGTCCATGCTAAAACGATCAGGCTTTTGGCCACTAGAGTCCTCGATCTATCTCTATTGGATAGAAGTAGTAGGCCTAACATGAAAGTGAAATAATAATGGTCCGTTTGAGTGTCATTCTGACGTTTTTAAAATACATAACACTTATTTAATTGTATTTATTTTACAAATATACACATAGGCCTACAATCATATTAATTGTATTTTATTTTATTGAAATATTTGCTCTCTGAACAAGCTCATCTCAAAGCCTCTTTCTCTAGCGCCAAAATTGGAATACGTCGTGACGTCAAGCGTAATTTCAGCCCGTCCCCTTTTGGTGAATGGAGAATCCGCTATCCAATTGTGGCAGTCGAAAACAGCAACATTGTTTCCTTGTGTAGAGAATGGGTCTCAGTAACCCGATAAATTACTAAAGAAATGCTTAGATTAAGATAACATTGATACGCTCTCTAAGTCACCTAGTGCGGTGACTTATTGGTGAAGACATGGAAAAACAACCGAGGTTATTGGCATCCCAACTCCTCCTGAAAAACAGAGTCTTCGAAGTATTGTTAAACCGTGTGATTCTGACATGGAAAGAGATTCCGGCCAATAAAAAACGCGTTTCAGGCAGTATACATCACCCGTTCAAAGTCGGTAAGTGTCAAAAGATAAACTGGGTATTAAGTGCAAAGATATATGCTACTAATATATTCCGACTGAGACATCTAGGGACAGATAGGTGATTTATAGCCTATAGTATGTTCTCTTTGTTGGAAATATTCGCTATCCACATTCGCGTAAACACGTAACGTGCGCATTCACAATTCTCTGGATCTTAGTCTCAAAATATATAAATGTTTTGTTGCCTGCCCCTAACCTTTTTGCTGATGAAAGACAATACATTATTGTTATTGTCAACGAATGGCATGGTATGTTAAAGCCTAAATTAGGCGTAGATGTAAAGGGCACTCTATAGGCCTATCTGAAACAGACAACAAGGACAGTTTAGTGCAGTCTTTTGTTTTTATTTTATAGATGCATTTGTATCATAGCAGCGAGACTATCCATTGCCCAGAACTTAGTTTTGAAAGCAAGCCAATTCTGAGTTGTTGAATGTTTGACAGCTGGGCCGCGGAATGCGGCGGCGGCCCTGGCTTGGGTAGATTCACTATGTCGGGTCAATTGGATGTTACGCGTTTTGTTCTTGGAGTTTGCAATCACCTCATACGGTAGGCCTAATAACCGCTATAGCGCTTGCACGGTAGCCTTCATGTTGTCAGTCTATTCCCACTGCATTTAAACGCACAAAGCATCATACTTATAGGCTGTTCATTATGTGTTAGTCTTTATTATAGGCTAATTAGATTAAACGTTATTTATTGATGAAATTGTAATTATAGCCTACTAGGTTACATGAGCCAACATGTCTGACTGGTAGATGCCACATAGGCTGCGTTTACTTACACAGGCAGCCCAATTCGGAGCTTTGTTTCCACTAATTGGTCTTTTGACCCTAAACATCAGATATTTTCACTTAGATATTTTTCAGGTCAAAAGACCAATTAGTGAAAAGAGATCAGAATTGGGCTGCCTGTGTAAACGCAGCCATAGTACCACATCCCTTGTCACCCAAGATTCAGATGAGGAGCAAACATAGAGACAGAAGACTCCTCTTTGTGTCTGTGACATTATAGTGTCTAACAACATGGCCAGTGCCATTAAGGCTATCTCCATTTTAAAGTAGTCATTTTTCTTCTTCATGATTGGCTGATCCGTCCAGATGACCTGATTGGACATGACTCCAACAGGGTCACCAGGAGAGATCATGAAGTGGAAGACCCACCCAGTTGACTACATGGTGGAAGCCCTCAATGGCGCTGCCCATGCTAATATGGCCTTTTAGTCTCTATCATTCTCTATGGGAGCATAACATATCCACATGGTGACGTATGGAATGTGTTTATGTTTGACATTTGAGTCATTTAGCAGACGCTCTTATCCAGAGTGACTTACAGAAGCAATTAGGGTTAAATGCCTTGCTCAAGGGTACATCGACAAAGGTTTCACCTAGTCGGCTCAAGGATTTTAACCAGCGACCTTTCGGTTACTGGCTCAATGCTCTTAACCGCTAGGCTACCTGCCAGCACTGTTCAACTCAGTATGGTCTGTTGAATTGAATGTGGCTTTAGGCCTACCTCCCATGAAAGCAGGCCTAAATGGAAATTGACTCTACTAAATGCCTTTTGGATATTCAAAGCGTCTTGTTGTGGTGAATTCAAAAGCATAGCCTACATTAGAGATATGAGGGAAGAAAGCGGGTCCACGCTCCTTATGGTCAATGATAGGCCTCGTTGAATCTATAGGAACCCACAGACAATTATGTCGTCAAACAATTTAGCTTTCCGAGTCAAGAAATCAACAATATAACATGTTTGATGCTAATTTGGATATTTAATAACATATATAGAAAATGTTGAAGGAATTGTATGAGTTTATCCCATAGTCTGATAGCAGCCTCGTTTATTATTTATTAATACCCTTGAAGTAGCTCGAACAGTATCACCTTTTCAGTTTAGCCGATCGTTTTCACAGTTTGAGTTGCACTCTTTTCTGCGGCCTAATTCTGAAGTAGACCATGTGCCATTCAGATTCTCTCATTCTAACAATGGACAGGACACCCTCATCAAAAGCAAACATGCCCATCACTTTCACTGTCAAGAGATGGAGGAAGGCCTAGCACGGGTCTTCCACAATGTAGTTCCTGGCAAATGTTTCCATCAGATGTTTTTGTAATGTTTCAAACAGTCCAATGCAAACATGGGAGCCCATCTATATTCGTATAATGATGAACAGTGAACACTGAATCAGAGCGCAGAAGGGCATTCACTCATGATGTCACTCACTACACTATGATGGATAAGGGCCTGCTGTTCTGTTGACATTTTCCCACTGCTTGCTTGGCACTTTGACATTTCCATGGAGGGCTAATGCTAGCTAGTCTGATTTGGTGTCCTGCATGGCAGGCCCATGACCTACCAAGGGTTTGAATTTCTCCCACTCCTCATCACCCAACCCACCTCTCTTTCTGTGGCTGTTATTAGCCAAACCAGTACACTAGTTGCACAACTAGGAAAGATCCGGCTAGTGTTTTGAGTGGCATAGGAAAACAGTGACTAGTATTTTCCAGAGCAGCTCCATACAATATGGCTTGTACAGTATGTTGTGTTGACCTACCCTTGTTGCGAGGAGCTAATGCAGTCGAGTTATGTTCAATAAGTCATTGGGGTCAACCTTGGGGTTCAGTTTGAACAACAGGGGTATAAGGAGGAAAGTAATGAAGAATGGCTGAATGTGTGTGGTGTGTCAGTATATAGATTATCAAGAGTATCTTCAAACATTCCAAATATCAATCGTATTGATCTTCTCATTCAATTGAGAAACTGTCAAATGAGAACATATGGTTTAGGTTCAAACTAGGTAGGAAGGCCTTGATGAGTACAGTTTGTCTGTGATGACTCAGGCTGGTATTCAGCTAAAGCAGCTTGTAAACCTTTTTATTGTATGTCTCGCGCTAACGGAAGTCGGTAAACATCGGTATTTACAGACCTTTTTATTCATAGCTCGGCTTATTCTGTGACTATGCAGTTGTCCATTGTCAGACTTGTATGATGTACTCTGAGTATACCAAACATTAGGAACACCTTCCTAATATTGCGTTGCATCCCCCCCCCGAATGGCACACATACACAATCCATGTCTCAAGGCTTAAAAATCATTCTTTAACTTGTCTCCTCCCCTTCATCTACACTGATTGAAGTAGTTTTAACAGGTGACATCAATAAGGGATCATAGCTTTCACCTGGTCAGTCTGTCATGGAAAGAACGGGTGTTCTTAATGTTTTGTATACTCCGTGTTTATCACCAGAAAAATGGTTTTGCATATTAATAAACCATGACCCAAGGAGTTGATAACAACATGGGCCAACTAAGTATCTGAGAATCAAGTGTGTTATGTAGCATTTAGGCCTGGGATCAAATATGGTATGACTAACCTAAAATAACCATTATAATGTCCTCGGCTACAAATGACCAATAGTGTACATTCAGCAGGCCAATGTTAAGATCTATATATCTTACAGTGACATTGTTATAGCTGTAAGTTGTCATACCAAAATGAAATTATCCTGTCATACTTATGTAATGGCTTCCCATGTGGACAGTATATCTGCCTAGAGATAAAACAGATTAGTGACCTCCCTGTATCGTGTTAGTTCATTTGGATGCCTGCTATCTGCCATCTTTCATCTTGAGGCTGTCAAAGGTCTCTTCATTTATTTCAGAATGGATGGGCTTTGGAGTCGAGCCTATTCATTTCAGGAGCTGAAAAAATACCATTAAATTCTGAGATATCTGAAGGACAAAAGTCCTGAAAATGAGCAATCACAAGCAGCGTTGTTAAAATAATCATCTCTCCAGATGAAAGGGTAATAGAGTCTTTGATAAAATAACATTATTTATTTTTTCTTAGACTTAAAGGGTAAAATAATTTCTACGCATTTCTTATAAGATTATTATTTTCCATTCTCTAGCTGAAAGGGATCAAATGACGCAAGACCTTATCTCGGAGTAGAAATTGCTTGATCGAACGCTGGCTCCACTACTGTCTTCAGTGCCAAAATCTGCTGCATCTGAGAGAAACGTACGTTGAACTAAGACAGAGGAAGAGGTAAAGAGAGATGCCCAACTCTGCTGAATATTTTTTATATATATATATTTTTGGCCCACCAAGCAAGGAGTTTTTGTATGGAGGTCAATGAGTGTCGAATTTGGGCAACAAAGAAATGAATGGCTTATTTGCTACGTGAGGTTTATTTGATTGAATAGACGTTTCATAATAAGTAGGACACATAACATCCCTGCAACTTTGAGGAAAAACACTTATCGGAGTTGTCTCAAGATGGATATGCATATTCATGGTATGAGTCTAGTAGCATAGCATCTCTCCATTGAATACAGTCGGTTGACGTCAACAACCCTCATCGAATATTGAAAAAAAGTATTTAAATAATTAATTTATCCACCAATTCAAAGAAAGGATAGGCGGGAGCTAGACAGCCCGCTGTGACACTTTGTGGACAACGACTCACATTGTTAGGGCGTAGAGACACGTATTTTGTCAGTATATCCATAACCTTTGACTAAGAGAAGAGAAACGCTCTAAGAGAAACACTTGTTGAACTTTGAACTCCCCTGGCTAAATTGTGAAGCAAGCCAATGTAGGACCTTTTAAAGGTTTCATTCTGCTGAAGAGATACAGTATGTCAATATTGCTGTGTGAAAAAAGTGTTTGCTCATCTTGATGCAAACCACAATAACTCCACTGTTCCCATTCCAGGTTTCTGTTTTCCTAAGTTCCTGCACCGAGGCAAAGGAGAGTCAGGTAGGAGGAGCACTCTTACCACAATGTGGTCAAAGAGTTGGGCTACATACAGTGAGCTCCAAAAGTGTTGGGACAGTGACACATTAGTTTTTGTTTTGGCTCTGTACTCCAGCACTTTGGATTTGAAATTATACAATGACTGAGGTTAAAGTGCAGACTGTCTGCTTTAATTTGAGGGTATTTTCATCCATATCGGGTGAACTTTATGTACATAGTCCCCCCATTGTATGGGACCAAAAGTATTTGGACAAATTCACTTATGTGTATTAAAGTAGTCAAAAGTTTAGTATTTTTTTCCATATTCCTAGCACACAATAATTACATCGAGAGTCACTATTATTGTAAATAAGAATATAATGTTTCTAAACACTTCTACATTCATGTGGATGCTACCATGGTTATAGATAGTCCTGAATGAGTCGTGAATAAAGATGAGTGAGAAAGTTGGACACATTACAATAACAAGGTTAGCATTTTTTGAGGAGGTTGATATTTATGCCTCTAACTTTCTCATCAATATTCACGATTCATTCAGGATTATCCATAGTCATGTTAGCATCAACATTAATGTAGTGTTTAGAAACATATTCTATTCTTATTTACAACAAAAGTGTCTCCAAAATAACACAATACATTATTTACTATTCATTTCTATTGGGCACAACATAATCTGAAACACAACCAAAACAAACAGCAAATACAACCAACAAGTTTGTAGCATGACAAGCTTGATGTCATCATTTGTTCTAGGAATATGGGGCCATATAAGTGAATTCATCCCAATACCTTTGGTCCCCTAAAATAGGGGGACAATGTACAAAAAGTATTGTAATGTCTAGATGATTTACCCGATATGGATGAAAATACCCTCAAATTAAAGCTGACAGTCTGCATCATTTGTATAATTTTGAAATCCAAAGTGCTGGAGTACAGAGCCAAAACAACAAAAAATTTGTCACTGTCCCAATACTTTTGGAGCTCACTGTACGTCCACTAGAGTGACTAGTTTGAAATTATTTTGCCAGCTGTATTTGATGGGGTTCCCTTTGTCAATCAATATTCCTCTATCTCTGATCAGATTTAGAAGACAGAAAAGTTGGAGAGATTAAATGAAACCCATTTGCTATGAGGTTGGCTAAACTTGAAATCTATATATTAGCTGGCTACTCACTAGCACGTGGGCTTGTGCTTGAGAGATTGTTTATGAGACCGATGTTAATTATTAGTGAATATGCATTATGCATGGTTCTGTTGAAATTTGTAACAAAAAGGGCATTTTTAAATACAGACCTGAAAGCCAGATAAGTGATTATTGCAAAAAAGCAGGTACAACTATTTTGATCAAATAATTAAATGATTAGTGGGTCTTATGGTTATGGAAGGCATATATTCAGCCTAAGTATAATTTCACAAGCTCATTCGATTATTGCTGACTGTTTTAAATGCAGTATATTTGGCCATTTAATTGTACAACAAAGCTTATTTAGAGAAAAAATTTTTTAAATCGAGATATATATTGTGAATCGCCAATAAGTTCGAAAAAATCGAGACATGAGTTTTAGGCCATATCGCCCAGCCCTAGAGGAGATGCATTGTAAATGTGTGTTCTGTGTAGTGTAATATACACTGCTCAAAAAAATAAAGGGAACACTTAAACAACACAATGTAACTCTAAGTCAATCACACTTCTGTGAAATCAAACTGTCCACTTAGGAAGCAACACTGATTGACAATAAATGTCACATGCTGTTGTGCAAATGGAATATACAACAGGTGGAAATTATAGGCAATTAGCAAGACACCCCCAATAAAGGACTGGTTTTGCAGGTGGTGACCACAGACCACTTCTCAGTTCCTATGCTTCCTGGCTGATGTTTTGGTCACTTTTGAATGCTGGCGGTGCTTTCACTCTAGTGGTAGCATGAGACGGAGTCTACAACCCACACAAGTGGCTCAGGTAGTGCAGCTCATCCAGGATGGCACATCAATGCGAGCTGTGGCAAGAAGGTTTGCTGTGTCTGTCAGCGTAGTGTCCAGAGCATGGAGGCGCTACCAGGAGACAGGCCAGTACATCAGGAGACGTGGAGGAGGGCAACAACCCAGCAGCAGGACTGCTACCTCCGCCTTTGTACAAGGAGGTGCAGGAGGAGCACTGCCAGAGCCCTGCAAAATGACCTCCAGCAGGCCACAAATGTGCATGTGTCTGCTCAAACGGTCAGAAACAGACTCCATGAGGGTGGTATGAGGGCCCGACATCCACAGGTGGGGGTTGTGCTTACAGCCCAACACCGTGCAGGATGTTTGGCATTTGCCAGAGAACACCAAGATTGACAAATTTGCTACTGGCGCCCTGTGCTCTTCACAGATGAAAGCAGGTTCACACTGAGCACATGTGACAGACATGACAGAGTCTGGAGATGCCGTGGAGAACGTTCTGCTGCCTGCAACATCCTCCAGCATGACCGGTGGGTCAGTCATGGTGTGGGGTGGCATTTCTTTGGGGGCCGCACAGCCCTCCATGTGCTCGCCAGAGGTAGCCTGACTGCCATTAGGTACCGAGATGAGATCCTCAGACCCCTTGTGAGACCATATGCTGGTGCGGTTGGCCCTGTGTTCCTTCTAATGCAAGACAATGCTAGACCTCATGTGGCTGGAGTGTGTCAGCAGTTCCTGCAAGAGGAAGGCATTGATGCTATGGACTGGCCCGCCCGTTCCCCAGACCTGAATCCAATTGAGCACATCTGGGACATCATGTCTCGCTCCATCCACCATGCCACGTTGCACCACAGACTGTCCAGGAGTTGGCGGATGCTTTACTCCAGGTCTGGGAGGAGATCCCTCAGGAGACCATCCGCCACCTCACCAGGAGCATGCCCAGGCGTTGTAGGGGGGTCATACAGGCACGTGGAGGCCACACACACCACTGAGCCTCATTTTGACTTGTTTTAAGGACATTACATCAAAGTTGGATCAGCCTGTAGTCTGGTTTTCCACTTTAATGTTGAGGGTGACTCCAAATCCAGACCTCCATGGGTTGATAAATTTGATTTCCATTGATCATTTTTGTGTGATTTTGTTGTCAGCACATTCAACTATGTAAAGAAAAAAGTATTTAATAAGATTATTTAATTCATTCAGATCTAGGATGTGTTATTTTAGTGTTCCCTTTATTTTTTTGAGCAGTGTATTTTTTGCTATGTCTTCTAACTTGGAATCATTGGATCTGGGGGTGGACATTGAGGTTGAATGCTCATGACTTAAAAATGAGCTGATGCTTTGCAGTGCAGTGTTTTCACAATACCAGAATTTTGACTTCGATACCAGGTTTAGTATCACAATACTCAATACCATCATGATACCACAGCAATCGTTGTGCATCTTTTGAGTTCAATATCATGACATTTTGAATTTCTTTACATCAAAATTTTTCAGAGACAGCCATGTATACATTACTGAATCAATTATACAATCATGCAATCAATTTGACTTTGTTTTTACCAACTACATATATAACGGTAATAATTTATTTGAATGGTAAATCTCTATTGATAAATTGGGTAAATAGGTGTGTGCATGCATTGAGTTATTGAGCTTGTTTTGGCTGATTTTTAAGGGGCTACAGATGACAAACAATTTGTTTCCCTTCCATTTAGGACTTATTTTAGGGTACTGATCAACAACATTTGCATTGAAGTAGCTTCTTTTATAAAAATGTGCGCTGTCTCTTTAACCAGTAACGACGTCATTTGCAAGGCAGTCAGTTCGCTGATAATCTTTGGTAGAGATGTGAGAGAGAACGAATAAGTGAATGAATAAAGTTTGTGGTGGCAGTCAGCTTTGAAATCGGCATATTTTACGTTATGGTTTGCATATTATCATAAACAAAGTGCTAGGCTAGTACCGAAAGTAAAACTATTTTTTTTATTACTGTAGTGTTTTTCATGTTCTAGCATTGAAAAAGTACTGAAGTTTCGGTATACCGTGGAACACTAATGCAGTGTATGTTTAACAGCTACAATTTGCTGAGTCATCACATTTGATGTATGGTTTTCATTTGGCCTCTCCGTACCTCCACCGAGGTAGCAATGCCATCTGTTGTTAACAACCGGTAGCAAACAGAACAATGAAACTCATGTTTCCTGTTGCCAATTTGCTTCATATCACATTTTTATTGGTTGTGTACACTTAGTTTGCAGATGTTATCGCACGTGCAGCGAAATGCTTGTGTTTCCAGCTCCAACAGTGCAGTATACCTAACAATACAAATCGATACACACAAATCCAAAAAAGAAAGAAATTAAGAAATATCAGAATGAGCAGTGTGTTTATGTATTTGTGTGTATATATATATATATATTAGGGGTGTAACGATTCATCTACTACATCGATGTATCGATTTATATTCATATGATCCAACTACATCGATCTGTGCGCGGCGAGTTGGCCTTTTGGACAACATATATCGATCTAACATCGTTTTAAAAATGTAATAAATCGATTGTATCGATACTAGGAAATAACCCATTGGATTTAAGCACGTCAGACTTTATATGCAGGGGTGCACATAACTGGTACGCAGATACGCAAGCGCGACAAATTACTACGCGCCTTTGCGTACTTGACCGATCTTCTCATCTAACCTTACACATGACATGTTGCTTGTCAACTACTGTCAGGGATGTCCAAAAAGCAACAGACATTAAGCAGCCTTTTTGGCGTTTCGCCACCTACAAAGAAACGCCAACTGGAGCCAGAGCCGAAGAAAATACTTTTTTCGGAAAAGTGGCTCCAAGATGTGCAGTGGCTTGAAGCTAACGATGAGCGCACTGAAATGTGGTGCAAGATTTGCCGCTCAAATCCACATCTAGCAGACAAAACAGGTGCATTTTATAAAGGCTCAAAGAATTTCAACCATCCTTTATTTGACCAACATGAAAAGAGCAAGGAGCACACGAATGTGGCGCAAGCCATTGCTAAAAGCTAGCCGAGAATAAATGCATAAAGCTAAACACGCACGTCCCATGTCTTCCTATTCTGAGGATGTTCCTTTACTGAATGCTTTTTGATGGATCTGAGGACATCACAAAAACTGAGCAGGAAATAGTTTACATTGTGTCTGTGTCCAGCAACGGAGAGTTTACTTCGGACTTTATTGGACTGATTGAATTGGGTGCTGACCGAACCGCACAGGCCATAACAGACGGACTTGTGAGACTTTACGGGGCGGCTGTCAACGTAGGTATGGGTAAGTTTCATAATACCAGATGGTCTGCATGGAGGCATGAAACACTGTTAAAAATATCAAGACTATTGCCAGCCATTAAAATGCAACTGGTTACCAGGTATTTATTTCAGTCACACTGGTTGAATTTTTGGCTAAAAGGTTACTGAATCGATTTCAAGTCACTGAATCGTTTCGGATCGTATCGTTCTAAATGAACCAATATCGTCCTTGAATCGTATCGACAACCACGAATCGTGATACAAATCGAATCGTTGTTAAAACGAATCGTTACACCCCTAATATATATATGTGTGTGTGTGTGTATATGTGTATATATATATATATATATATATATATAATATATATATATATATATATATATATATATATATATATATATATATATATATATATATATATATATATATATATACACACACACACACACACACACACAGTGGGGAAAAAAAGTATTTAGTCAGCCACCAATTTTGTCTGTCATAGTTGACGTGTACCTATGATGAAAATTACAGGCCTCTCTCATCTTTTTAAGTGGGAGAACTTGCACAATTGGTGGTTGACTAACTTTTTTCCCCCCACTGTATATATATGTGTGTGTGTGTGTGTGTGTGTGTGTGTGTGTGTGTGTGTGTGTATATATTGTCTCCTGAGTGGCGCAGTGGTCTAAGATCCTGGTTCGAATCCAGGCTCTGTCGTAGCCGGCCGTGACCGGGAGACCCATGGGGTGGCGCGCAATTGGCCTAGCGTCGTCCAGGGTAGGGGAGGGAATGGCCGGCAGGGATGTAGCTCAGTTGATAGAGCATGGCGTTTGCAACGCCAGGGTTGTGGGTTCGATTCCCACAGGGGGTATGAAAAAAATAATAATGATGTAAGTCGCTCTGGATAAGAGCGTCTGCTAAATGACGTAAATGTAAAATGTATATGTGTGTGTACAAAACATTAGGAACACCTGCTCTTTTCATGAGAGACTGACCAGGTGAAAGCTATGATCCCTTATTGATGTCAATTGTTAAATCCACTTTAATCAGTGTAGATGACGGGTAGGAGACAGGTTAAAGAATAATTTGTAAGCCTTGACAATTTTTTTTATTTATTTATTTATTTTATTTCACCTTTATTTAACCAGGTAAACCAGTTGAGAACAAGTTCTCATTTACAACTGCGACCTGGCCAAGATAAAGCAAAGCAGTGCGATTAAAAACAACAACACAGAGTTACATATGGGGTAAAACAAAACAAAGTCAAAAATACAACAGAAATACATATAATATACAGTGTGCAAATTTAGCAAGTTATGGAGGTAAGGCAATAAAATAGGCTATAGTGCAAAATAATTACAATTTAGTATTAACACTGGAATGATGTGCAAGAGATGATGTGCAAATAGAGATACTGGGGTACAAATTAGCAAAATAAATAACAATCTAGGGATGAGGTAGTTGGGCGGGCTAATTTCAGATGGGCTGTGTACAGGTGCAGTGATCGGTAAGGTGCTCTGACAACTGATGCTTAAAGTTAGTGAGGGAGATAAGTGTCTCCAGCTTCAGAGATGTTTGCAATTTGTTCCAGTCATTGGCAGCAGAGAACTGGAAGGAATTGCGGCCAAAGGAGGTGTTGGCTTTGGGGATGACCAGTGAGATATACCCGCTGGAGCGCAGACTACGGGTGGGTGTTGCTATGGTGACCAATGAGCTAAGATAAGGCGGGGATTTGCCTAGCAGTGATTTATAGATGGCCTGGAGCCAGTGGGTTTGGCGACGAATATGTAGTGAGGACCAGCCAACAAGAGCGTACAGGTCACAGTGATGGGTATTATATGGGGCTTTGGAGACAACGGATGGCACTGTGATAGACAACATCCAATTTGCTGAGTAGAGTGTTGGAGGCTATTTTGTAAATGACATCGCCGAAGTCAAGGATCGGTAGGATAGTCAGTTTTACGAGGGCATGTTTGGCAGCATGAGTGAAGGAGGCTTTGTTGCGAAATAGGAAACCGATTCTAGATTTAACTTTGGATTGGAGATTCTTAATGTGAGTCTGGAAGGAGAGTTTACAGTCTAACCAGACACCTAGATATTTGTAGTTGTCCACATACTCTAGGTCAGACCCGTCTAGAGTAGTGATTCTAGTCGGGTGGGCGGTTGCAAGCAGCGTTCGGTTGAAGAGCATGCATTTAGTTTTACTAGTGTTTAAGAGCAGTTGGAGGCTACTGAAGGAGAGTTGTATGGAATTGAAGCTCGTTTGGAGGTTTGTTAACACAGTGTCCAATGAAGGGCCAGATGTATACAAAATGAGACAATTGAGACATAGATTGTGTATGTATGCCATTCAGAGAGTGAATTTGCAAGACAAAAGATTTAAGTGCTTTTGAATGGGGTATGGTAGTAGGTGCCAGATGCGCTGGTTTGAGTGTGTCAAGAATTGCAATGCTGCTGGGTTTTTCACGCTCAACAGTTTCCTGTGTGTATCGACAATGGTCCATCACCCAAAGGACATCCAGCCAACTTGACACAACTGTGGGAAGTATTGTAGTCAACGTGGGCCAGCATCCATGTGGAATGAATTGAGGCTTTTCTGAGGGCAAAATGGGGTGCAACTCAATATTAGGAAGGTGTTCCATCTCTCAACCCGCTCTACTGCAGCCCTGTTGAAGAGGATGGGGCGTGCTCGCCCCCCACCCATTTCCTGTTGTCCACCATCAGCTCCTTGGTCTTACTGACATTGAGGGAGAGGTTGTTGTCCCGGCACCACACTGCCAGGTCACCTTCTCCCTGTCTCATCGTCGCCGGTGATCAGGCCTACCACTGAGGTGTCGTCAGCAAAATTGACAATGGTGTTGGAGTCATGTGTGGCCATGCAGTCGTGAGTGAACAGGGAGTACAGGATGGGACGAAGCACACACCCCTGTGGGGACCCCATGTTGAGGGTCAGAGTGGCGTAGGTGATGTTTCCATCCTCACCACCTGGGGTCGGCCCGTCAGGAAGTCCAGGATCCAGTTGCAGAGGGAGTTGTTCAATCCCAGGGTCCTAAGCTTGGTGACGAGCTTGGAGGGGACAATCATGTTGAACGCTGAGCTGTCGTCAATGAACAGCATTCTCACATACAGTTGAAGTCGGAAGTTTACATACACTTAGGTTGGAGTCATTAAAACTTGTTTTTCAACCACTCCACAAATTTCTTGTTAACAAACTATAGTTTTGGCAAGTCGGTTAGGACATCTACTTTGAGTATGACACAAGTAATATTTCCAACAATTGTTTACAGACAGATTATTTCACTTATAATTCACTGTATCACAATTCCGGTGGGTCAGAAGTTTAAATACACTAAGTTGACTGTGCCTTTAAACAGCTTGGAAAATTCCAGAAAATGATGTCATGGCATTATAAGCTTCTGATAGGCTAATTGACATCATTTGAGTCAATTGGAGGTGTACCTGTGGATGTATTTCAAGGCCTACCTTCAAACTCAGTGCCTCTTTGCTTGACATCATGGGCAAATCAAAAGAAATCAGCCAAGACCTTAGAAAATAAATTGCAGACCTCCACAAGTCTGGTTCATCCTTGGGAGCAATATCCAAACGCCTGAAGGTACCACGTTCATCTGTACAAACAATAGTACGCAAGTATAAACACCATGGGACCACGCAGCCGTCATACCGCTCAGGAAGGAGACGTGTTCTGTCTCCTAGAGATGAACGTACTTTGGTGCGAAAAGTGCAAATCAATCCCAGAACAACAGCAAAGGACCTTGTGAAGATGCTGGAGGAAACAGGTACAAAAGTATCTATATCCACAGTAAAACTAGTCCTACATCAACATAAACTGAAAGGCCACTCAGCAAGGAAGAAGCCACTGCTCCAAAACCGCCATAAAAAAGCCAGACTACGGTTTGCAACTGCACATGGGGACAAAGATCATACTTTTTGGAGAAATGTCCTCTGGTCTGATGAAACAAATAAAGAACTGTTTGGCCATAATGACCATCGTTATGTTTGCAAGGGGGTGCCTTGCAAGCCGAAGAACATAATCCCAACCGTGAAGCACGGGGGTGGCAGCATCATGCTGTGGGGGTGCTTTGCTGCAGGAGGGACTGGTGCACTTCACAAAATAGATGGCATCATGAGGAAGGAAAATTATGTGGATATATTGAAGCAACATCTCAAGACATCAGACAGGAAGTTAAAGCTTGGTCGCAAATGGGTCTTCCAAATGGACAATGACCCCAAGCATACTTCCAAAGTTGTGGCAAAATGGCTTAAGGACAACAAATTCAAGGTATTGGAGTGGCCATCACAAAGCCCTGTCCTCTAGAGAACATTTGTGGGCAGAACTGAAAAAGCGTGTGCGAGCAAGGAGACATACAAACCTGACTGTTACACCAGCTCTGTCAGGAGGAATGGGCCTAAATTCACCCAACTTATTGTGGGAAGCTTGTGGAAGGCTATCCGAAACGTTTGACCCAAGTTAAACAATTTAAAGGCAATGCTACCAAATACTAATTGAGTGTATGTAAACTTTTGACCCACTGGGAATGTGATAAAAGAAATAAAAGCTGAAATAAATAATTCTCTCTACTATTATTCTGACATTTCACATTCTTAAAATAAAGTGGTGATCCTAACTGACCTAAGACAGGGAATTTTTACTAGGATTAAATGTCAGGAATTGTGAAAAACAGAGTTTTTAAATGTATTTGGCTAAGGTGTATGTAAACTTCTGAATTCAACTGTATGAGAGGAGTAGTGCAAGATATGTAAATGTTAATAATGTTTACATAGTGTTCCATTTCTTAAAGTGGCCAGTGATTTCAATAGGCAGCAGCAGCCTCTAATGTGCTAGTGATTGCTATTTAACAGTCTGATGGCCATGAGATAGAAGCTGTTTTTCATTCTCTCGGTCCCAGCTTTGATGCACCTGTACTGACCTCACCTTCTGGATGATAGCGGGGTGAACAGGCAGTGGCTCGGGTGGTTGATGTCCTTGATGATCTTAAGTAACAGCCTACCTGTTGGCTCTTAGTCGCTGTAGCCTTTCCTTGCCTTTAACTTTTAATTCCATCTTCCATTGATTTAGATATCTCTTAACTTTTGCCACACACTGAGGCTCTATGACTGTAGCCTGTTGGCGCTTTCATGCCTTATGATTGGCCAACAACAAACTACACGTGCCACTCTCCTGAAAAGCAACAGCAGCAGCATAAATTATACAAGCGCTCGCTCTCACGCTCTCTCTCTCTCCCTGCAGCAGTCTCGTATGGGTCCTTCCGTACATGTCAGTTAAAATTACACATACCCAAGAGTAAGACCCATCATCATCAGATCCGACCCAGACCGTGACATTAGATAGAATTCTGGATCCGGACCCTCTCGGGTATTCGGGTACAGGTAGATCCGTGAAGACCTCTACCTCAACTTGTTGAGCCAAGTCACTGCACAATATCTCTCCTCCAAGTCACTGCAGCATACCTCTCCTCCAATACACTGCAGCATACCTCTCCTCCAAGACACTGCAGCATACCTCTCTTCCAAGTCACTGCACCATACCTCTCCTCCAAGACACTGCACCATACCTCTCCTCCAAGACACTGCACCATACCTCTCCTCTAAGTCACTGCACCATACCTCTCCTCTGTAGTGGCCTTTATTTACCCTCCTTAGCCAATGGGGTTGTTGGCACCTCCAGAAATGGTGGTCTTTTATCAAAGACTATATGACAATGTCACAGTAGGGACATGTCATTAACATGAACATGTGTATGGTTGAGAGGGATGAGGCAAAAGAGATGGCAAATAGGTCTGGCTGTACAACCAATTGGCAAATGTACTGCAAATTGAGATATAATTTGACTAAACTGAATACTCTGAAACAAAGATGATTGACAAAGAATTATAGTAAAAAGCTTTGGAGCACCTTAAATGGAATTTTGGGCAAAAAGGCAAACTCTGCTCCTTCATTAATTGAATCAGATGACTCATTCATCACAAAACCCACTGATATTGCCAACTACTTTAATGATTTTTTTCATTGGCATGATTAGCAAACTTAGGCATGACAAGCCAGCAACAAACGCTGACACTACACATCCAAGTATATCTGACCAAATTATGAAAGACGAGCATTGTAATTTTGAATTACGTAAAGTAAGTATGGAAGAGGTGAATGTTTTTGTCTGTCTATCAACAATGACAAGCCACTGTGGTCTGACAACTTGGATGGAAAATTACTGAGGATAATAGCGGACGATATTGCCACTCCTATTTGCCATATCTTCAATTTAAGCCTACTAAAAAGTGTTTGCCCTCAGGCCTGGAGGGAAGCAAAAGTTATTCACCTACCTAAGAATAGTAAAGCCCCCTTAACCTCTTAAGGATCTGACCCTTTTTTTCAATTTTTGCTTAAAATGACATACCCAAATCTAACTGCCTGTAGCTCAGGACCTCAAGAATATGCATATTCTTGATACCATTTGAAAGGAAACACTTTGAAGTTTGTGGAAATGTGAAATTAATGTAGGAGAATATAACACATTAGATCTGGTAAAAGATAATACAAACAAAAAACATGCGTTTTCTATTTGTATCTTTTTTCATCAATGCAAGAGAAAGGCCACAATATAATATTGCAGTTTAGGCACAATTTAGATTTTGGCCACTAGATGGCCGCAGTGTGTGTGTGCAAAGTTTCAGATTGATCCAGTGAAGCATTGCAATACTGGACTATTTTGTATCAAGTCTTCCCAAATGTGCCGAATTGGTCAATTGATACATTTTCAAGTACATAACTATAGAGAACATACAAAAAGGATATGGTAATACAAAATGTAAGTTTACACACTCTCAGGAATGTCATACATGATGGATCATTAGCCTATACACTAACTTTCACACATCTAGATGGCCGGGCGGGGTGGTGTGAAATCAGAGACAGCAAGGGTTCAAACTGTGGAACCCAGTTCCTACATTTGAATATAAAAATGGATTTTATCAAACAAAACTATGCTACATTTTATCTCTGGGACCCGCAGGATGACAAATCAGAGCAAGATTACTGAATGTAAGTACATTATTTACCTTCAGAGGTGAATGTATCAAACCAGTTGCCATGATAATTTTGTTGTTGTTGTGCACTCTCCTCAAACAATAGCATGGTATGTTTTCACTCTAATAGCTACTGTAAATTGGACAGTGCCGTTAGATTAACAAGAATTTAAGTGTTCTGCCCATATAAGACATGTCTATGTCCTGGAAAGTTTGCTGTTTCTTACAACAGTCATGCTAATCACATTAGCGCACGTTAGCTCAACCGTCCCATATACAGAACACTGATCCCGTAGAGGTTAACTGGCTCAAATAGCCAACCAATCAGCCTGTTACCAACCCTTAGTACACTTTTGGTAAAAATGGTGTTTGACCAGATACAATGCTATTTTACAGTAAACAAATTGACAACAGACTTTCAGCACGCATATTGGCAAGGACATTCAACAAGCACAGCACTTACACAAATGACTGATGATTGGCTGAGAGAAATTGGTGATAAAAAGATTGGGGGGGGCTGTTTTATTAGACTTTTTACATTATCAATCATAGTCTGCTGCTGGAAAAATGTGTGTGTTATGGCTTTACACCCCCTGCTATATTGTGGATAAAGAGTTACCTGTCTAAAAGAACAGAGGGTGTTCTTTAATGGAAGCGCCTCCAACAAAATCCAGGTAGAATCAGGAATTCCCCTGGGCAGCTGTCTAGGCCCCTTACTTTTTTCAATCTTTACTAACGACAGGCCACTGGCTTTGAGTAAAGCCAGTGTGTCTATGTATGCGGATGACTCAACACTATACATATCAGCTACCACAGTGACTGAAATGACAGCAACACTTAACAAAGAGCTGCAGTTAGTTTCAGAATGGGTGGCATGGAATAAGTTCGTCCTAAATATTTCAAAAGCATTGTATTTGGGACAAATCATTCACTAAACCCTAAACCTCAACTAAATCTTGTAATGGAAAATGTGGAAATTGAGCTGGACTACTGTTCAGTCGTGTGGTCAGGTGCCACAAAGAGGGACAAAGTGGAGGAGAGATTGACTTCATCACTACTTGTATTTGTACTGAGCTGTTTGTTTGAACTACTGGCACACAGCTCGGACACCCATGCATACCCCACAAGACATGCCACTAGAGGTCTCTTCACAATACCCAAGTCCAGAACAGACTATGGGAGGTGCACAGTACTACATAGAGTCATGACTACATGGAACTCTATTCCACATCAAGTAACTCATGCCAGCAGTAAAATTAGATTTAAAAAACAGATCATGGAACAGCGGGGACTGTGAAGCAACACAAACATAGACACATGCAAACAAACACACGATTACATACGCACTATACACACATGTACACATGGATTTTGTGTTATAGATATGTGGTAGTATAGTAGAGGCCTGAGGGCACACACTTAATATGTTGTGAAATCTTTTATGAATGTATTGTAATGTTTTTAAAATGTATAACTGCCTTAATTTTGCTGGACCCCAAGAAGAGTAGCTGTTGCCAAGGCAGCAGCTAATGGGGATCCATAATAAATACAAATGGATCATAGACGGGTCGTAGACAGGTCTTGGTAGCTGAAAAGTGACTTCTCAGTCGACACACAAACTGCATTCGAGGTCAGCTTGATGGGTTGGGGTATGCAGTTAGATAGCAGGCAGAAATAAAACAGTGTTTTATTATAATGTCACTCTTATGGCCTCTGTATGGTGCCACACCAGGCCATTGTATGTGCATTAATGATTGATCAGCACAGAAGTAATTCATTCTTCCCTGATTTCCTATAGAGCTTTTATAGAACTGCACTGGCACAAAATCAAAATGAATTCAGACTCGGATCATGATAATGACTTCAGGAAAAGGGTGGTAATAACAGGCACCATTAGTGTAGGAGTTGCCCTAACAATATGGTATTGGTCTATAGTGATAGATTTAATCTTTCTCCAAATGAGCTCCCCTTCCATTATCCATCAGTAGTGCTTTCTATGGCAGGAGTGGTCAACAGCTATACAACACTAATGGTTCTCCCCCTCCCTGCCTTCTCTCAGCCCAATACTAGCTCCACCCTAATGCTGAAATCAAACCGTTAATAGTCCATTAAAGCTCCAATCTCATCACATTAACTTTATTAGCATGAAGCTATCCAAGCTGTAATTGATACAGCCAGCCAAGTTTGGTTGGGTAGGTCAAAAAGGGCTTGAGATCCTGGCACCATAGTTCTCTCTCTCTGTGTGTGTGTGTGTGTGTGTGTGTGTTTGCTTTCCCTTTCTCCAAGAAATGAATGTATAAAGGATAAACCTCTGGTTCCTACCACATTGTGACAGATTGATTTGGTGTGTTTAACAGGTACCAGCCACAGCGTGTCCGTGTCTGAGATCCTAGCAGTCCGGGAGCTCGATGTGGACGGCGGGACGAAAGATGATGGCAGGTGGCAGAAAATGCCCCAGAAACTGACTGAGGCCTATCCATATGCATTCACAGGTAGGAGTTGTTGGTAATCTAGAGCAATCTACAGATATTGGATTCAATATATAGGGTGTTCACCCATAAAATGTTGAATTAATTCAAGGTTTATACAAGTATGTCCATTCAATAGAGAATTGCATCAGAAAAACGATAGTCCAAGCCCCATGTCTCTACCATATACAGAGCCTTCAGAAAGTATTCATAACCCTTGACTTATTCCACATTTTGTTTTTACAGCCTGAATTCAAAATAGATTAAAATAAAAACAAATCTCACCCATCTACACACAATTCCCCATAATGGCAAAATGAAAACATGTTTTTAGAAATTGTTGCAAAATAAATAAAAATGAAATACATAGATCTCATTTACATAAGTATTCACACCCCTCAGTCAGTACTTTGTAGAAGCACCTTTGGCAGCAATTACAGCTATGAGCCTTTCTGGGTAAGTCTCTTAAGCGCTTTCCACACCTGGATTGTGCAACATTTGCCCATTTATTCATTTTTTTTTAAATCTTCAAGCTCTGTCAAATTGATTGTTGAACATTGCTAGAGAACCATTTTCAGGTCTTGCCATAGATTTTCAAGTAGCTTTATGTCAAATCCGTAACTCGGCCACTCAGGAACATTAACTGTCTTATTGGTAAGCAACTCCATTATACATTTGGCATTGTGTTTTAGGTTATTGTCCTGCTAAAAGGTGAATTCATCTCCCAGTGTCTGGTGGAAAGGAGACTGAACCAGGTTTTCCTCTAGGATTTTGCCTGTGCTTAGCTCCGTTTCTTATTTTATCCTGAAAAACTCCCCAGTCCTTGACGATACAAGCATACCCATAACATGCTATGCTTGAAAATACGGAGAGTGCTACTCCGTAATGGGTTGTATTGGATTTGTCCAAAACATAACACTTTGTATTCAGGACAAGAAGTTAATTGCTTTGCTACTTTTTTTGCAGTATTACTTTAGTGCCTTGTTGCGAACAGGATGCTTGTTTTGGAATGTTTGTATTCTGTACAGGCTTCCTTCTTTTCACTCTGTTAATTAGGTTAGTATTGTGGAGTAACTACAATGTTGTTGACCCCATCCTCAGTTTTCTCCTATCACAGCCATTAAACTCTGCCAACTGTTTTAAAGTCACCATTGGCCTTATGGTGAAATCCCCGAGTGGTTTCCTTCCTCTCCGGCAACTGAGTTAGGAAGGACGCCTGTATCTTTGTAGTGTCTGGGTGTATTGATATACCATCCAAAGTGTAATTAACTTCACCATGCTCAAAATCTAATCCAATGTCAGCTTTTTTTTTTTTTACCCATCTATCAATAGTTGCCCTTCTTTGCAAAGCATTGGAAAACCTTTCATGGTCTTTGTGGTTTGTGGTTGTATCTGTTTGTTTGAAATTCACTGCTCGACTTAGGGACCTTACAGATAATTGTATGTGTGGGGTACAGAGATGAGGTAGTCATTTAAAAAAATAATGTTAAACACTATTATTGCACACAGTGAGTCCACGTAACTTATTATGTGACTTGTTAAGCAAATGTTTCCTCCTGAACTTATTTAGGCTTGCAATAACAAAGAGGTTGAATACATATTGACTCAATACATTTCAGCTTTTCATTTTGTATTAATTTTTTAACATAAAAAAAACCATAGTTCCACTTTGACATTATAGGGTATTGTGTGTAGGCCAGGGACAAAAAAAATCTACACAGGCACGATCAAAAAGTAGAACTCAGTAGCCCGGCTCCGCGGCAGAACGGCGCTAACATCAACTGACAAGCAAGTTCGTTAGTGAAAACATGCTTTTTCTAAATGAAATCCGCAGAATACAAAACAAAATAGGGACTAAGTATATATTAATTTACAATGCTGACTGAATTTCAATATCCACCCTCCGAAGACAATCTGTTCCTGTTTTCATTCTCTATTTCTGATTCTCTCTTTAAATCACCATAGAAACAGCCCTTTTTAACGTAGATTGATCGCCAATATAGCCAATGAAAGCCAAGGATCTGTAGGTGAAAATTATGAGGGTATCAAGTTGATTTTGATTGGTCCAACCCATGCAAACACCTCCAAATGGTACCACCTCCCAACCCCAAATATTGAAGAGATACTACCAAAAGTGGCGTGGTCAAGTATATTAAGGTTATAATATCGTAGCGAACAATCTAATGATTCATTCTTTGTGATTTATAATGACATGGGGCAAAGAAAACAACGTTTGAACTTTACTTTCGTAGCACCCTCTTGAATTGCCCTGTTTTTCTCTATATTCTAGAGCAGTGAGTGAATGCCCTACAATATGGTAAATGATACTGCAAGGTAAATCTGTTTTGTTAAGCCTCTGTACCCTGTCATCCCTTTGTGTCCCTCTTCCACAGTGTCTTATGTGGAGAGAGTGCGGCAGCACCGCTGGCGGTGTAGTGACGTCACCTTCCACTGTCCAGAGGGGGCGCTGTGTCAGCAGTGGGTCCAGACCATCAGAGAGCAGCTCGCAGCACTGAGTATGGCTGAGTATTACTGACACTGAATATGCTTTGTGAAGTCTGGTTGCAAGGCTAACTCAGAAATGAGTATGGCCGTCATTCTGTGCAGATACTCAGTAGTGCTGAGCGATTAACCGTCATTTCATATTTTTTCCGGTCATTAAACAACTAATTGACCGTCTGTTCAATTACTTGAATTCCATCTATTTTTTTAATTAAATTTTTATGTGAGCCCAGCGTGCCATTTTTCTAGAGAGAAATCAAATAATTCACAACAGAAATCAAGTCAACTATGTGGGATGCTGGGCTGAAGGGAGTTGTCGTTTTCATTAAGCAAATATTCAACCTAGTTCAGCTCAGAAATGTGGTAATTAACTACAATCCCATAATCCATTGCGCCAGTTTTTTTCAGTTTCGGACGGAGACCAGAGAGGTCACCAAAATATGTCCAAAATAAGCCCAATGTGTTTCTATGGGCTTATTTTGGACCTAAAATTGTCGCCTGCCTTCCTGCTTTTGTGACAATGACTCCCATTGTTAGGGCAGAAACATAATTATATACAGATCTATGGACGGATAAATTTTTACGTCTGCTACGTTAGGTTAGATACACACAGACCGCATGAGAGAGGAATGTACACAACGCTGAGAGGGACAGAGACCGTTCGTGAAAGTATGCCTTATCTACTTTGAAGAACTAGTAAAATGATTTCATCAGACCGGTCTGCAGCATAGGCTACCTAAATAGGATGACTCAAAGACAGTACAGTATGGAGAGCACAGAGATAACGTTAGGTTTGGCTGACTGCTACTGCTTGAGATGAGATGATGACTTTAAGGAATGAAAAATAAATAATAAAGTCATCAAATAAAAACTAAGTACAGTGGGGGAAAAAAAGGATTTAGTCAGCCACCAATTGTGCAAGTTCTCCCACTTAAAAAGATGAGAGAGGCCTGTAATTTTCACCATAGGTACACGTCAACTATGACAGACAAACTGAGAAAAAAAAATCCAGAAAATCACATTGTAGGATATTTTATGAATTTATTTGCAAGTTAAGGTGGAAAATAAGTATTTGGTCAATAACAAATGTTTCTCAATACTTTGTTATGTACCCTTTGTTGGCAATGACACAGGTCAAACGTTTTCTGTAAGTCTTCACAAGGTTTTCACACACTGTTGCTGGTATTTTGGCCCATTCCTCTATGCAGATCTCCTCTAGAGCAGTGATGTTTTGGGGCTGTCGCTGGGCAACACGGACTTTCAACTCCCTCCAAAGATTTTCTATGGGGTTGAGATCTGGAAGACTGGCTAGGCCACTCCAGGACCTTGAAATGCTTCTTACGAAGCCACTCCTACGTTGAGATCTTGCGTGGAGCCCCAGATCGAGGGAGATTATCAGTGGTCTTGTATGTCTTCCATTTCCTAATAATTGCTCCCACAGTTGATTTCTTCAAACCAAGCTGCTTACCTATTGCAGATTCAGTCTTCCCAGCCTGGTGCAGGTCTACAATTTTGTTTCTGGTGTCCTTTGACAGCTCTTTGGTCTTGGCCATAGTGGAGTTTGGAGTGTGACTGTTTGAGGTTGTGGACAGGTGTCTTTTATACTGATAACAAGTTCAAACAGGTGCCATTAATACAGGTAAAGAGTGGAGGACAGAGGAGCCTCTTAAAGAAGTTGTTACAGGTCTGTGAGAGCCAGAAATCTTGCTTGTTTGTAAGTGACCATATACTTATTTTCCACCATAATTTGCAAATAAATTCATTAAAAATCCTACAATGTGATTTTCTGGATTTCTTTTTCTCAATTTGTCTGTCATAGTCGACATGTACCTATGATGAAAATTACAGGCCTCTCTCATCTTTAAGTGGGAGAACTTGCACAATTGGTGGCTGACTAAATACTTTTTTTCCCCACTGTAATATACACAACTGAAATATTGTATTGTTTCATAGTAATTTCCTATTTTTCTATTGATGTCTACCCAATGTAGACCTGGCAGAGACAATGGAATATTTTCAATGTTTTTGCAATTGAATGCTCACTATTAATGTATTTCATATTTTTTTAAATGATTGAAATCGAAAACCGTGATAATGTTTTCAATAATTGAACCGAAACCTAACCGACCTCAAAAAGCACTAATTGTTCAACACTTACTCAGCCTACAGCCTACAATTGATCTGGAAAATACAATAACATCTTTCACTTGACTTTTTGCAGCCAGCAGACCCAAGCATTTGCTGGTGTACATCAACCCTTATGGGGGCAAGCAGCAAGGCAAGCGTATTTATGAGCAGAAAGTCGCGCCTCTCTTCGCCTGTGCCTCCATCTCCACGGACGTGATTGGTGAGTTCCTGCCAAAGACATTAAACTTGCTTTAATAAAAGATGAGTCTTTATGGGCCAAGTAAAAATTGTTCACTGTAGGCAAATGGACACAAGCTCTCTCAGGCCGCACAGGAATATGACATCATTTACGGCCGCCATCCATCATCCCAGTTCCTTAATGGAACGGATGATGTCGATGAATGCTGGATTCCCCTTCCATCCGGTTTACTTCTCAGACTACAGAAAGACTGTTTACATTTGTAACTGTGGAATTTCAAAGTCCAAATTTTGACTAATTGTATTTAACTATACAGCTGCTTGGGTTGATATCAAAGATATTGATACAGTATTTGAGCAATTGTGTAAAAAAGAAAAGAAGAATCTAAGGTGGATGTGAAAATGTTTGCACATGAAATCAAACTATTCCTTTGGCTACAAATTATTACAATGTCTAACGATTAGAGAAGATTAAATGCTACTTTAGGGCTACTTTGGGACTTCTTTATGGAAAATGCTTAGTCGATATATTGCTCCAAGCGAGTGAATGATTACTCCCAAAGTCCAAAATATCGATTTATGCTACATATTAGGAAAACATCAAGCAATATAAATTAGTCAATTGTAAACCTGTTCAAGTTGACTTTTCAAGTGTATCCCATATACAGGAAGCATGTTGAGACTTCTAACTCTTTCCTGGTCATTTGTTGTCATAGTTACAGAGCATGCCAATCATGCCAGGGACCACTTGAGGACAGAGGCGGAGTTAAAGCAATATGATGGGTGAGTCGAGGGTGGAGATGTTCTCAATGTCATTGTCGCTACAATAATCAAAGGTCTGTTTTAAAGACCTCTTTGTAGTCTGGTTTTCAGCCCAACCGTCACTAAATCATATTCAACCAATCATAGTTGAACTAAAAACACCCCGGGTCAAGTATATTCCTCTCAAACAAAAAGATCAGTTTTGTTGTTGTTCTGACCTCTGTGTGTTACATGACCTTTGACCTCTATGCAGAGTGGTGTGTGTGGGCGGGGACGGCATGTTCAGCGAGATAGTTCATGGCCTGGTCTTTCGAGCACAGAAGGATAACGGAGTGGACCAGAACAGCCCGGAGGAGAAGCTAGTACCCTGTACTCTCCGCATCGGCATTATACCCGCAGGTTAGTCAACACCCAACACACACATTCACAAGCACATGCATGGACACATTCTATACACGCCATCTGCAAGCATACATACTTTTTTTTTCTCGGTGTCTTGACAATATATAACTGTGTTGATTTCACATTCCATTTTTCCATCTTACACACACGTGTATACACACGCACCATGGCCGTGATTCAGAGTTTTTGTAGTCAGAAACAGAACGTATCAATGTCTTGTTTTGTGTGGTATCCAGGTTCGACGGACTGCATCTGCTATGCAACTGTCGGCATCAACGACCCTGTGACCTCAGCCTTACACATCATAGTGGGTCAGTGCATTTATCCACATTGAAATATTGGCAGCACTTCTAATTAAATTGCCTTTAAAAAAAAAAAATGGAGTGTAACTGACCTTTTTATACAGCATAAGCATTCTTTATCACTGTTCCAGGTCATTCCTGGAGCTTTATTGTGAGTAGAAATGTGTGTCATGTTTTTCACTTCCATGTTATCGCTATGGTACACTCAGCTGACCAACAAGTGACAGCCGTGACCTACTGATTCAAAGGTTTAGAGATAAGAGGAAACTGCTGGAGGTGTGTGTGAGTGTGTGAGTAGGTGGGTGTGTGTGTGTGCGGGTGTGTTCAGGCATTGGTGTGTGTTTCATAGTAAAAGCACGTATTGTGTGCCATCACACCTCTGCCTCTGTAGGACACTGTACCCCACAGTATCTGTGGAGGATCACTCATACTAGACTTTGGGTGCGTGTCTTCACAGGAGACTCCCAGCCAATGGACGTGTGCTCGGTCCATCACAACAACACATTCCTGAGGTACTCAGTCTCCCTGCTTGGATACGGTTTCTACGGCGACGTGCTGGCAGACAGCGTGAGGAAACGATGGATGGGACCAGCCAGATATGACTTTTCCGGTAGGTCAGAAGAGTTAGCTTTAGCTTTTTTAGGAAATACCACCACTGGGTACAGTTGCGGTAGACTGTTGCCATTGCTAATAATAAAGGCCATGCCGTCGTTTGTGCAGGTTTTAAGACTTTTCTGACACATCACCACTATGAAGGGTTTGTGTCTTTTCTACCAGCAACTGACACACTGGGAACACCAGGAGACCAGACCAGGTGTAGAGCTGGGTATGTCAGACTGTACTCTTACAACCTGTCCAATGATACACACAACCTGTTATGTACTTTAGTATTACATGTTTGTCTAGATGGTGCAAAGGAGAGATTGTTCACTTTGCTAGCAAACTCCATTGTCCCATCCTCACTCCATTCCTGCGTTCCAGGTGCTTCATATGCCAGCACGACGGGCAGCTGTATACAGAGGATTCCCCAGAGAAATGCAAGACTGCTCCAGATGTCTCAGACAGTGGTAAGCACAGTATCTCTGCCTGAACACCCAAATGACCTCAACTCCACACGCCATGGGTCTCTACTGAAACCTACACAATGTATTTACCACAAAGCACCAACCTGTTTCTGCTCTATCCCAGAAAAAGAAGGGGGGTGGGGGGTGATCAGAGGGAAGTTCCTGGCCATCAACGCGGCCAGTATGAGCTGTGCCTGTCCCCGTAGCCCCAAGGGCCTGTCCCCCGCCGCCCACCTCGCTGACGGCACCACCGACCTCATCCTTGTACGCAAGTGCTCCCGATTCAACTTCCTGCGCCACCTGCTACGCCACACCAGCAAAGACGACCAGGTAACCACACTGGTCGTCTGCAATGGTGTCTTGATTTCTGTGGGTACTCCAACCCAGGTCCATAGGAGTGGTTGCATGAGATGGTTAACTCGCTAATTCCCTGTATCAGGGATTTCACTTTCTCACTTCTGTTCCTCTCCCCTTCAGTTTGACACGACCTTCTGTTCCTCTCCCCTTCAGTTTGACATGACCTTCTGTTCCTCTCCCCTTCAGTTTGACACGACCTTCTGTCCCTCTCCCCTTCAGTTTGACATGACCTTCTGTCCCTCTCCCCTTCAGTTTGACATGACCTTCTGTTCCTCTCCCCTTCAGTATGACACGACCTTCTGTCCCTCTCCCCTTCAGTTTGACATGACCTTCTGTCCCTCTCCCCTTCAGTTTGACATGACCTTCTGTCCCTCTCCCCTTCAGTTTGACACGACCTTCTGTCCCTCTCCCCTTCAGTTTGACACGACCTTCTGTCCCTCTCCCCTTCAGTTTGACACAACCTTCTGTCCCTCTCCCCTTCAGTTTGACATGACCTTCTGTCCCTCTCCCCTTCAGTTTGACATGACCTTCTGTCCCTCTCCCCTTCAGTTTGACATGACCTTCTGTCCCTCTCCCCTTCAGTTTGACACGACCTTCTGTCCCTCTCCCCTTCAGTTTGACATTACCTTCTGTCCCTCTCCCCTTCAGTTTGACATGACCTTCTGTCCCTCTCCCCTTCAGTTTGACATGACCTTTGTAGAGGTGCACCGTGTGCGGCGCTTCCGCTTCACGCCATGCCAGAACGACTCAGAGCTAGACCTGAGGGAGAACGGCAAGCAGCTCTTCAGCCAGATCTGCCACCCTGCCTATAGCAGCTGGAACTGTGACGGCGAGATCCTCCCCCACGCTGCCATCGAAGTCGGGTACGCACCCCCCTATATGTAGAAATATAACCCACTTCTGAAAGTTTGTCTGCACTGTGCTATTTTCAACATTTGAATTTAATTCATGCCTTTGTTTTTCCCTGACAATGTTTTCTTTGTCTTCTGCCCTTCCAGAGTCCACTGCCAGTTGATCAAGCTGTTTGCGCGAGGGATCGAAGAGCAGTCTTTGTTTGAGGACCTCGCCCACCCGTGTGCACTATAGATCCCCTCCTCCCTCCGCTGCCCTACCCTATCGAAGTCACTGGAACAGTCCTACTGCGTTTCAAATGCTCCCACTGCTGTCGCTTCCTTAGCCCTGTGCACTACATTTATCTGATGTACTTGTAGGTTTTTCAGACATTTTTTGTTTTCTGGGGCCATTTTGGAGGTCACAAGTTCACAGGTCAAGGAGTGCTGGTGCTGGTACATTTACAGAGAGGTTCAGCTATTTACTAATAGTGAAGAAGAAATCATGAAAACCTTTTCCCCCCTTTCTGCTATCCTTTTGCAATAGAGAGATGTTAACCTAGCACTTAAAGTGCTGTTCAACAGTTGTACAACTCCCTTTGCATGTGTTTGAATGTATTCTGCTCCAAATGATGAACAGTTACAAAGCTTTGTTTGTTTATTTATCCATTTTATATTAAAGGATGTTGCTAGCTGCTTGCCTTGTTGGAATTATTTCCCTGCACATTAAAAGCATGAATTTGAATACATTTGTGTGGATGATAGGATATTGGATGAACCAGAGCACTTTCTATGGGTACCAGATGTCAGCTAGCCTGTCACCTTAATGTGGTAATGTAACATTGAAACAAACCATCACTAAATCTGATGGCACAAACACATGTCCTATATAGCTACAGTATACCACCAGACTGGCTAGAGTCACACTGACAACTCAATGTAGAGTATCAACACAGTTTATGCACTGAAACATGTGACTTGGTAGCATTAAAATAGACGCAGCAGTCTAATTTTTACCAGGCAATTTCTGACATTGCTGCGATGTCATTCCATGTTAATATGCTGTGGTGTCTGAGGTTGCTGTCAGAAAAGTGTTGTGTATTTGTTGCACTCGCAGTGCTTGGTGTCCTGCGTATCATATTGCCTTCTGCACACACTGTTCTGGGTGTCGTTTCCCCTGCACTGGCAATCTGGTCTTGCTGCTGCGGACGAGGAAAATAGTAGCAATTAATGGTTGTTCATAGCATAAAAAAAGAAGTTTTACCCATCTGACCAAAATACTAGTCTCAACTGTATGCTGTGGTGATGTAGCCTGGTTTAGATGTCATGCTGCTGTGGTGATGGTTTAATGTTATTGTGCAGTGATTTTGCCTAAAACGTCTGGTATACTCCCTCGTACCATTTGACTTAACACTGCAGCTAGTAGTAGAGGTCACATAGCATCCCCAGTGTCTGCCTGAAAGTAAAAGATTGATCTGAGATGTGTGTCTTGAACAATAAAAAGATGCGCTTGATGAAGACCTCCAGTCTGCCTTGATTTTGGAAGGATAGAATTGCAAACAATCTCAAATCAAATGTTATCAAATGTGTATTTGTCACGTGCTTCGTAAACAACAGGTGTAGACTAACAGTGAAATCCTTACTTACAGGCCCTTAATGCAGAGAGGAGAACAAGAGAAATAATAGAAAGATAATAACACAAGGAATAAATCCACAATGAGTAACGATAACTTGGCTATATACACAGGGTACCAGTACCGAGTTGATGTGCAAGGGCATGAGGTAATTGAGGTAGATACACTACCAGTCAAAAGTTTTAGAACACCTACTCATTCAAGGGTTTTTCTTTATTTTTACTATTTTCTACATTGTAGAATAATAGTGAAGACATCAAAACTTGATATGTCAGGTGGATGGATTGTCTTCGTAAGCTTTTTGTGCGTATGGAACATTTCTGGGATCTTTAATTTCAGCTCATGAAACATGGGAACAACACTTTACATGTTGCGTTCATATTTTTGTTCAGTATAGATGGGTGTACATAATAAACTGGCCACTGAGTGTATAACTAGAAATAAAGTGACTAGGCAACAGGGTAGATAATAAACAGTAGCAGCAGTGTATGTGAAGAGACAAAGTTAGTGCAGAAATGGTCATTGCAAATAGTTAACCAAATACAGTGCCTTGCAAAAGTATTCTTCCCCCTTGGCGTTTTTCCTATTTTTTTGCATGTCAACCTGTAATTTAAATGGATTTTTATTTGGATTTCATGTAATGGGAATACACAAAATAGTCCAAATTGGTGAAGTGAAATTGAAAAATAACCTGTTTCATAAAATTCTAAAAATAAATAACGGAAAAGTGGTGCGTGCATATGTATTCACCCAATTTGCTATGAAGCCCCTAAATAAGATCTGGTGCAACCAGTTACCTTCAGAAGTCACATAATTTGTTAAATAAAGTCCACCTGTGTGCAATCTGAGTGTCACATGAGCTGTCACATGATCTCAGTATATATACACCTGTTCTGAAAGGCTCCAGAGTCTGCAACACCACTAAGCAAGGGGCACCACCAAGCAAGCGGCACCATGAAGACCAAGGAGCTCTCCAAACAGGTCAGGGACAAAGTTGTGGAGAAGTACAGATCAGGGTTGGGTTGTAAAAAAATATCAGAAACTTTGAACATCCCACGGCGCACCATTAAATCCATTATTAAAAAATTGAAAGAATATGGCACCACAACAAAACCTGCCAAGAGAGGGCCGCCTACCAAAACTCACGGACCAGGCAAGAAGGGCATTAATCAGAGAGGCAACAAAGAGACCAAAGATAACCCTGAAGGAGCTGCAAAGCTCCACAGCGGAGATTGGAGTATCTGTCCATAGGACCACTTTAAGCCGTACACTCCACAGAGCTGGGCTTTACAGAAGAGTGGCCAGAAAAAAAGCCATTGCTTAAAGAAGTTAATAAGTAAACACGTTTGGTGTTCGCCAAAAGGCATGTGGGAGACGCCCCAAACATATGGAAGAAGGTACTCTGGTCAGATGAGACAAAAATTGAGCTTTTTGGCCATCAAGGAAAACGCTATGTCTGGCGCAAACCCAACACCTCTCATCACCCTGAGAACACCATGCCGATGTTTTTCATCGGCAGGGACTGGGAAACTGGTCAGAATCAAAGGAATGATGGATGGCGCTAAATACAGGGACATTCTTGAGGGAAACCTGCTTCCAGCAGGACAATGACCCTAAGCATACTGCTAAAGCAGCACTCGAGTGGTTTAAGGGGAAACATTTTAATGTCTTGGAATGGCCTAGTCAAAGCCCAGACCTCAGTCCAATTGAGAATCTGTGGTATGACTTAAAGATTGCTGTACACCAGTGGAACCCATCCAACTTGAAGGAGCTAGAGCAGTTTTTCCTTGAAGAATGGGAAAAAAAAACAATTGCTAGATGTGCCAAGCTTATGGGGACATACCCCAAGAGACTTGCAGCTGTAATTGCTGCAAAAGGTGGCTCTACAAGGTATGGACTTTGGGGGTGTGAATAGTAATGCACGCTCAAGTTTTGTTTTTTTGTCTTATTTCTTGTAGGTTTCAGAAAAATAAATATTTTCCATCTTCAAAGTGGTAGGCACGTTGTGTAAATCAAATGATATAAACCCCAAAAAAATCACATTTAATTCCAGGTTGTAAGGCAACAAAATCGGGAAATGCCAAGGGGGGTGAATACTTTCGCAAACCACTGTAGCTACCCAGACTAACTACTTGGGCAGTCTTATAGCTTGGGGTTAGAAGCTGTTCAGGGTCCTGTTGGTTCCAGACTTGGTGCGTCGGTACCGCTTGCCGTGTAGTAGCAGAGAGAACATTCATTCAATGACTTGGGTGGCTGGAGTCTAGAGGATCAAAGTCCTAAGGGGGAAGAGGCGTTGTCGTGCCCTCTTCACTACTGTGTTGGTGTGTGGACCATGATAGATCCTTAGTGATCTGGACACTGAGGAACTTGAAACTCTCGACCAGCTTGTGGAGGATTCTTTATTCTAATCTAAGGACTTGATACTGCCGCTATGCCACAGAAACCTCCACATGAATGTGGATGCTAACCTCCCGTTATTGTAATGGTAAGAGGTCTTGGAGGTATGATATTTGTGCGTATGTACGTTTCTCACTTATCATTATTCACGATTCATTCAGGATTATCTGTAATCATGGTAGCACCCACATTAATGTAGAAGTGTTTAGAAACATATCATATTGTTATTTACAATAAAAGCAACTCCAAAATGGCACAATACATTATTTACCATTAATTTCTATTGGGCACAAAATAATCTGAAACACAACCAAAACATACAGCAAATGCATCCAATAAATCTGTAGAGTCATAAGCTTGATGTAATCATTGCATGCTAGGAATATAGTACCAAATACTTAATGTTTTATTACTTTAATGCGCTTATAAGTGAATTTCTCCCAATACTTTTGGTATCCTTAAATGGGGGGACTCTGTACAAAAAGTGATGTAATTTAAACGGTTCATCCAATATGGATGAAAATACTCTCTAATTAAAGATGACAGTCTGCACTTTAACCTCATAGTCATTGTATCATTTCAAATCAGATATAGAGCCAAACTAAGAAAAAAAGCATCACTGTCCCAATAATTACAGAGGGCACTGTATTTAAGTACACATATACAGTACCAGTCAAAAGTTTGGACACACCAGTCATTCAAAGGTTTTTCTTTATTTTTACTATTTTCTACCTTGTAGAATAATAGTGAAGACATCAAAACTATGAAATAACACATGTGGAAACATGTACTGTAATTTTCGGACTATAAGCCGCGCCTTTTTCCCCGTTTTTCGACCCTGCGGCTTTTATAATGGTGCGGCTAATCTATGGATTTTTACAGCTAACGGCCACTAGAAGACCTCCTAAATCTATGGATTTTACAGGTTACAGTCCACCAACTTTAACTCTATGGGCTCTATGACCGGTCCGCGCCCCCCACCTTTAAGCGGCGGGCTCCAGCAGGAAAAGCTGGAGGCCGGAAAAGAGTGAGACAGGTAGCGCGCAAAAGTAAAAGTGGAACCGAGAGTGGTACGAGAGACAGAACGAGAGCAAGACAGACAGACATTACGAGAGCGAGACAGTTTGTCTCTTTCCCGACAATCCCCTCTGTGCACGAACCCTTACATATGGTAATTAAACATTAAAACACCTGCGGCTTATAGTCCAGTGCGGCTTATATATGT